CCCCCCGCCCCCCCCCCCGCCCCGCCCGCCTGTCCAGCGTAGGTTGGAGAGGCGGGTGCGGGCGCAGCTTGTCCACGAGTCAGGGCAGCTGGAGCTTTTCCAACTGTGCTGAGAGCTGCATGGCGGCAAGCTGATTGGACCCACAACTTAGGTATACCTCACTTCTCGCAATGGGCTGTGTCCCTGGAGGATTTCGAAAAGCGAATCCTACCCAGTAAATGCAGCATTCCAGGAACACCTTGAAGGAAATATGCGATTCCTTTGGCAAAAGATTCCTTTAGCAGGGAATTCTTCCTGCAAAGGGAGCTTTTAGGGTAAATGATTTTATGGGCAAAGCGCTTTCTTCCGATTAATTTCTTATTACGCAAAGCGCTTTTGCCTCTGTTTGCTTTTTTATCCCCCCAAAGCGATTTGCCCTTTTTTAGGAAGCGCTTTTTTTCCCCTTACATTTTTTCTACAAGGGGCTTTTTCCTCTAATTGTTTTCCTCAAAGCGTTTTTGTCCGATTCATTGTTTTCTGTTAGCTCCTTTGTCCAATTTTTTTCTGCAATGCGCTTTTTATCTAATACATTTTTTTTCTGTCAAGAGCTTTTTTTTTTGTCTGATTTACTTTTCCTGCAATGCGCGTTTTTCTCTATGAATTACTTTTCTCTAATTCATTGTGGAGTTTTGCGAAGTGATTTTTAATTTTTTTCTGAGAAGTGCTTTTTTTCTTATTTTTCATCCCACCCCTGCATATGTGTGTGTGTGTATATTATTTTTTTAATTTTTTAGAAATTTCCCCGCAATGCGCAATATTTTAAGGCAGAAAATTTTCGTTATGCGAACTGTGAAGTCTCGCAACATAGAAGCGCCCCGCCTCCCTCCTGGGGTCGGATCTGGGTATAGCGGGTTTTTCTTACCGCATAGGTTGCTAAAAGCCTCGGTGATTGTCCGCGGCAGTTGCCCGCCGCGCCCCGAGTCTTTGTTCCCGGCTGGGCGCGGGCGCACTGGGGAGGGTCTGCGCGAGGAGCAGGGCGCAGGGAACGGGCAGGGGGCGCATGGTGCCGGCAGCGGCACTTGGGCAGACAAGGATCGCGGCAATTGAGATAGGACAGGTCCGGGAGGCGGCAATCACGAGGCGGGCTTGCGGATTCAGGGTGCGCGTGTTGGGAGCCCTTTCCCACCCAGCGCCTGGCACACTTACCTGCAGCAGCACGCGGAAGATGTACCAGCCGATGATGAGCAGCTCAGCTGAAGCTGCCGCCACTGCCGCCATACTTCCTCGAGTGGTTGGTGGGTGGTCAAGAAGCAAGGGTTTGCCGAGGTCCACCGGTCTCTCGGAGTCCGCTGTTGGGCGCACTGCCGCAGCCGCTGTGTCCGCTCCTTAAGTACCCGCTCGTCACCTAAGTGCGCATGCGCGCTTGGGGGGGTTTCATGAGGCGGGGTGGCCGGGGGCGCTCCTCATTCGTCAGGAGAGGAAAAAAAAAATCCTTCTGCTCTTTCCACACCGACCCCCGCCTCCTGAGTTCCATCTTAGCCCCTTCCAGAAGATTCCGCTGTGCGCGCTTTTGAGTTTTTGTGTAAAATGGAGGGGTATCGCGGCTCTGGGTAGAGTACAGGGCGAGAGTAGGGGTTGCACACCTCTTGGAATGGCGCCCCTGTCTCCAAGCCCTGGCCTGCAAATTTCAGCCCAGTATCCAGGGCCGCTCCAGAACCAACCTTGGGCACGGATGGAAAACCGAAATTAGGGAAAGGTCGTCTGCCCCGTGGAACAAAAACAGGTACCCTTTTCAGAAGCCTTATCGTCACAGGCCCCTACTCAGTACACTTTTTCTAATATTCAGTGAGTTTTAAGTCCATAGCTTCTGCTTCACGAGGGGTGCCTGAGCGCGTAACCCTTCCCTGATTCTTCTCGTCTGGCTTCTTACGGTAGCAAGGAGATCGGGATCTGTGGTGGCGGTGGTACTCTAGGGAGCCGAGCCAGGGCCCTGCGCTCTGGGCAATAGTACGGGGTATCTACTTAGTAGGAGGGATGCAGGGAGGCTTGGCGCCCTTTGTATACGCGCGAGGAAAGTGCTCGGGAATACTTTTCTACTGGACAGAGTTTCAACCTCTGTCTTCCGCTCCGCTCCCCTAGGTCGGCCTCAGCCAGCGCGGGTCTTTGTACCCGTTCCGCTGGGCGGCTGGAGCATGGAGCGGGGTTTTGCTAGTGCCATTAGAGGGTCGTGGCTACCGCACCCGGTTTCCAGGGGAGGCGGTTCCTCGCCGAGCGCCTGTCTCGCGGGTCCCTTTCAGAACGCCCGTCTTGCGGGTTGATCCCCTCTCAGAGCGTGGGTTTTGCGGGCGGGAAGAGCGGAACACAGCCTGTGAGCGCAGCCCCCGCGCACCAGTGGCCCCCCGAAAGCACCTCTTTTCAGCAAGCTGCCTGGTACAGGGGCCAACTGGCGTTTGCCCCTACGTGGATAGAAAATTAATTTTGATTAAAATCTCATGAAGGTCAGATTCTGTAGTGCCAGCAGCAGATGGAGGTATTGATGATCCAAGCGGGTTCAGTTCGAACGAAGTAGCACAGTGATTTTTTTGTACATTGACTTTCAAATAAGTTGGCTGGTTTTGGCAAAATGAGGCCGGGCTATTTGAAAAAGGCGAGCTCGGCCCAGGCTGCCATCTTCAGACAAAATATTTGGTTCTCCCGCCATTTCTGCAGCTTATGGAGCTTGCAAGGATCCATTGCCTGTCGTCTCCGGGCCGGCAGTCCGCTGCTAACTGCTTTAACTTGCCACTCATTTCCTGATCACCTACCGCTGTGAGAGATACTAGATACAGAACCTTGTCCTTACTGCATGGGGGCACAGCACGGAGCCCATGGCCGTCCTGTGGCAACCACGGGGCGGTATTGTGAGGTCTGGGCCCCTTGAGGACGGGCCGCAGCCCCAGGAGGCGATACATGATCTCTGCTGGGCAGGGCCCAGGCAAAGCCAGTCCACTGAGGACCGTGCTAGAGAGCCTTCTTGCCAAGCCCCCAGGAGAAGCCCAGGGGGACATCCAGGAGGCCTCCTGAATTGACTTGGAGAGGAGTAGAACTTCCATGGGTGGGCAGGGAGGAAAGGGCATTCACATTTGCTGTTGTAACCATGATCCATTTTCCCAAATAAGTATACATTCTGTTCCTGTTTTTTTTTTTTTTTTTTTTTTTTTTTTGTCTGTCTGTCTGTTCTTTGTCTGTTTGTCTATTGTGTTGACTTTTCTCTTCAGGATCCCTGCTGCCTTGGTGATCCCGGGCTGACAGCCAGAGAGCACAGCGGCTCAGCTCCTGGAGAGTGAGGGTTGAAGAAAGCAGAGGGCAGCCGCCTGCGCCCGCTGGCTCCCACCCATTAGGTCGGTTCCTGCAGCGGTGCCCGGCAGCCTTGGTGAAGGCCCTGCCCAGCAGAGATCATGTATTGCCTCCAGTGGCTGCTGCCCGTCCTCCTCATCCCCAAGCCCCTCAACCCCGCTCTGTGGTTCAGCCACTCTATGTTCATGGGCTTCTACCTGCTCAGCTTCCTCCTGGAGCGGAAACCTTGCACAATTTGTGCCTTGGTTTTCCTGGCAGCCCTGTTCCTCATCTGCTATAGCTGCTGGGGAAACTGTTTCCTGTACCACTGCTCCGATTCCCCGCTTCCAGAATCGGCGCACGACCCTGCTGTTGTGGGCACCTAATGGCCCACCTTGTTAGCTTTCCAAGGAAGCAGAAGACGGGAGGGGAGGCATTGACGTAGGTCATAAAGCATTGGAGTTTCAAATCCCGCAGCCCTGCGGGTGCCACATTCCTAACAGCGCCTTTTTGGCCTGTGATGTTTTATCCTTATAATGTGAATAATGGCACTGACCGGTGCTTTTATTGTAGAGTCCTATAGTTGTGGGTGGTCTTGTGGTTGTGTGTGTTCTGTCCCCATCTTGATCCCAGCTGGCAGGATGGCTACCCCCCTCGCCTTATTACTGCGAGGAGTCTGTACTTGTCCTGGTCAGCCACCCTGGCATGAGCTGGGCAGATAAAATGCCAGTTTCATTGTTACCTTTGTGACCCCTCCTTGTCAGGGTCTCCTTCCTTCCCAGAATGTTACTGACTCCTCAGTCCCTCTCCTAGTTTCCCTTTAATTCTCTTCTACCCCTTTCCTTTTTTGGGGGGGAAGCACCTGTCCAAGACAGGGCTTGTTTTTGCACTTATCTCGAATTTGAAGAGATTGCTGACGCCCAAGAGCCTCGCTTTTTCATCCTTCTTTCCCTGTTCAGCAAGCTAGACGGAAACATATCTTGATTGTTTGTTGTCCACAAATCTCCAGTATTTCTCCACTTCATTTTTAAGAAAGAAGCAACAGATAGACGTTGCTCTTTCTCCTGAGCGTCCAGGCTCATGCTTTCCAACCCAGCCTCACTTCCTTTGCCCTCCTACTGCCTTTCTCAACTGTCCTGAGGCAGGGACCTTGTTGTGTCTCCCGTGCATGCTCTGCAGGATTGAGGTATGGTGTGTTTATGTAGATCTAGCAGTCCCCAGCTGAGTGAATGGGAATGTACTTGTGTATTTCATAATAGCCATGATCCCCTTGATAGGTGTTTGGATATTTTTTGCTGTGCCCTGTATGTGTGCGTACAAATACATGTGTATATTCCTTTTAAAGAAGCTTTATCGAACATGTTCTGATTTTGAGGTTTAGCAATAGATAGCTATTGTAGGTGCCGCTACAGTTTTATTTAGCATGGGGATTGCAGAGTGACCAGCACACTGGACTCCAAGGTGGTTCAGACAAGACAGAGGGAGCAGTGGCCATCGTCCTCCCGCCAGGAGCTTCTTCGTTCCTGCATATATAGACTGTATATTTCTGAAGAATACACAGGAAGACTTTGTGACTGTCACTTGTGTTTTTTTTCTTTTTCTGTGCTTCAATAACAAGTGTTGGCAAACAAGACTTTCTCCTGGCCCCTGTTCACTGGGGATCTGCATGGTTGTTCTTCCCATCTGAACCATCCATCTCTCTCTTGTCTGAGGGGGAGGGAGGTGGGCCAGGCAGAGAACAGAAGGCAGTCCATCTAGGGAATGGGACTGTGAGGCCACACTTGTGAAACGTTTGGAGTGCTATTGTAGAGCTTTTATTTCTGGTGTGTTCCTTGCCCAGCTGTGTGAAATGTTTAATAAAGCTTTATAAACTTTCCTCTGTGGTTTCATGTGGCTGCAGTCCATTTGGGTCACGGTGTTGGATTTCTGAGTGGGGGTGGCAGGGGGAAGCATGGAGGGGCTGAGTCCTTGGCGCCAGTGTACCTTAGCTTGAAAATTTGATCTGCTCTCGAGAGCAGATGGTGGGGCTGGGGGAGGGGATCAAGGGGCAGGCCAGGCGGTAAACAGGAGGGAGTCTGAAAGTTTTCAGAGATGAGACATTTGCATTTCTCAGCTCCCATGACTTCTCGCCTGAAATTGTTTCCCTCCATAGGAGATGTGAGTAACCGATCCCTTGACAAACAACTTAAGACAGCTGGAGCTCTAATCATCAAGGATTTTTATGGTGCTGCTTTTGAAGTAAAAATAAAATGAAACCCCTTATGGCATTTGAAGTGGAAAAATAAATAAGACTGACTGTCCAACCAACAGACTTAAGGCAATGGCTGGAAGTGCAAGAGTGGTATGATTCCATGTTGTAGATATGCACATGCTCCCATGGCCATGACCTCTGAGGCAAAGCAGGGCAGTTTGTCAGTGCCCTGTGCTTGGTATCTACCTCTGAATCTCTCCTTTCTTCTAGAAAGCATGATAGGAGCACTGCCTGTCCAAGGCACAGGGCTGTTATGAGGAGTTTTTGAAATAACAGTTGTGAGAGGACTTTGGTAATTTCATAGATCACCTGTTTTACCTAGATTTTTAATTTATTGCTATAAAGTTGTGTGTTGTTTTCTCCTCTTTTAAATCTGCTATTGTCATTTTATCCTTTTTTTCATTCCTAGCATTGCTTATTGATGCTTTCACTTACTGATCAAAACTTGCCAAAGGTTTGTCTATTTAAGAGGTATTTTCAATGAACCAAACTTTAATTGATTATATCTGCTGGGCATTTTTCCTACCTGATTCTTTTGTGTTTTCATCTCTGAATTCTTCTTTTCTGAGTTTCTGGATATATTTTGTGGTTCTGCAAAGTCTTGACAAGCTCAGCAGTCATACACATGGAAAGGATGGTTTGTTCAACAAACATTGAGACTCTACTAGGCTTGCTGGGGTTTTTCAGGGGCAAGACCCGGCCCAGGCCTGACTCTCCAGGAGTTCACAATTCTAGCCTAGTGGGAAGACTTAGCAAAATAGATAATTGCAAATTCCAAAAACAAAACAAACAAACAAAAAAGGCTTTTGTGTCCCTACTCTCCTCTGGAGGCACCTGGATGATAAATGATGCCAAGATTATTGTTTATTTTGCTCTCCCTCAGAAAACAACTTTTTGTTTTAGGTCAAACCCACTTAAGAGTCACAAACAGGCCTCCCTCTGAAAGATTTGTGGCCCTTTCCAGCAGGGAGCCTGCAGTCTACCCCCTCCCAAGGTGACTGCCAAATCAGCATTCTGTCTGCCCAGCAATGCTTCCCACCTTGCCAAGCACTCCATCCTTTCTGCCTGAAATACCTTTCAGGAAAGTAAAAAGTAAATACTTCTGGAAAGAAGTTGGGGCACCAGGCCTTAGAAAAACCACACACTGCAATTCAGTTAGTCACTTTGGCTCCTAGTATGAAATAGTTGCTCACAGGGTACCTAGTAACCCCACGACCCCCATGAGGCCTAGGTCTGGGCTTCTTTAGGAGCTGGTCCATGTCCTACTCTGGTCCTCAGTTTCCTTATAGGTAAAATTTGGTCTTTGTAGCAAACACAGTTTTCCCAGCCCTCATATCCAAGGAGTTCTTTTACTTAGGATCTTAAGGTCCTCCTTGGACCAACATGAGAAAGATGGCTGAGCTCTGAATGGGTGGCAGTGTACTTGTGAGGCAGCATGCATGTGTTTTATGTTTTAGTCATTGTCCTATCCAAGCCCAGATACTGCCTCTGTCAGGAAGCTTTCCTGGGTTTCTTCTTCCAGGAGATTTGCTTGCCTAGAGTGTTTCACTTTTGTTGAGTGTTTGTGCTAGTCAGACTTCTTCCTTAGTGACTGAGTTCTTAAAGGGCATGACCCATGAAGGCTTCCCCCTGCCTCCCAAGGAGGTCCGCATTATTACTCATTCGGCTGGTATCTGTCAGAATCCCATGTAGGACTAGGCCTTGGGACTACACGGTGGACAAGGTGGACAGCCCTTGCCATCAGAAAGTCCTCCAGGCTAATGGGAAAGGGGATGACGTTGAGCAGGTAATCCCAGAGATACACAGCTATCTATGGACTGTGGCAGGTGCTAGAAGAGAGAGTCTAAGAGGGAATCTGCTGTAGGCCTGGGAGGGTTAACATTCAGGCTAAGATCAGAAGGACAAGTACAAATGTTCAAGCAGTGAAGTGATAAATGAGATGTTATTTCTTACCAACTAATCAAGCATCTCTGTGCTTACAGATATAACAGACTAGGCTGAAAGTAAAATGAAGGACCACCAGCATCTGGCTGCCCTAGAATCAGAACCCAAAAAGGCTTTTTGGGATAAAGAGGTCAGTCTGTTTAAAGCTAGAGAACTATTGGGAGATAGTAAGGGGGTCTATGGCTGAAATTCTGGTAGCAGTCCCCAAAACTCAGTCCTGAGACCTCTTCCATTTCCAACTGAGAGAACCATCCCAAACGAGGATCCAGTGGGAGTGGGAGGGTGACCAAATCAAAACAGCATTTAAGGTGGTATTCTTTCAGTGGGCAGCAGTACAGCATTTGAATGGTGAAAGAAGCAGGGGCTCTGAAAAGGCCTCTGGCCTGGCTAGGTCACTAGGAATGGGGAGAAGTGGATCTCAGGAGCGACTGTAAGTGAGGAGTGGGGAAGGGAAGAGAAAGGGTAGGCGGGGAGGGAGAAGGCAATGAAAAATGGTGGAAGGAAAGCCAATTCCCACTGGATAGCTGCAGAAAAGGAGGCCAGAAAAGGGTTGTTACGTGTGTCCAGTCAGTTGGCAGAGCCAGAACCCAGTCTCCCGGCATCCTGTGCAAAGCTTACCCCCCATTCCACCAAAATGGGTGAAAGGGTCACTGCTCTGAAAAGAGGAAAGAACTAAGAAGTGCTGTCCTCAGCCAGTGATGGAAGATGACTAGGGGGACTTGTCTAGTCTCAGCCCAGAAACCCTCACTCCCCACTGTCTTCCTGAAAGCCCAAAGAAGGACAGAGTTTAGTCTGCCAGGCTTCAGGGAGGAAAATTAAGTACATTGAGAAAAACTTAAATTGTAGAGTAGACTAAAGGTTAAGGGGAGTGGCCGGCTAAGCAGCAACTGAAGGCTTCAGACAGAAGCCCTTGGTCTCCCTTTGCGATATTGGGAAAGGACTCAAACATTGGGTGGGAAGGAGGGTTGGAGGACCAAAGCACCTTGATGCAAGGCTTTGGGGAGCCCCATGCCTTATGTCTTGCCTTTGTGATGGCACCTCCCTAAGCCTTCATTTCTTCAACTGTAGAATCGAGACCATTACACCCACTGTAGCATCTGCCTCAGGGCAAAGTCTCTACAATGTTGTTATTTCTTCTGTTCTCCAACCCCCTGTGACCAGCCCTTACTGGGCCTAGTCCTCTTAGAGATGGGATCTGATCCTTCAACTCTCCCACTCATTCATTCATGTGAGGAGCATTTGGCAGGGTCTTTGCCAAGTCTGAGAAGCTGATGCAGGATAAGACCATGCCCTTGAGGAGCCCAGATCAGCAGGAGGGAGGGCACTGAGGCAGGCCTGTAGGCAAATAATGACAATACCATGTTGTTAGGTCATTAGTGGAATTAGAGAGATTATTTGGGAGACCATATGTCTGTACCTCAGTTTGAACTCCCTTAATTTTTTTCTATTCTCTGGAAAGACAATATCCTAAAAAGGAAAGGAACACCAAGGTGTAACTTCTTTCTAGGAGATCAAAGTCCTGGGTTTGAGTCCCTGCTTGGCCACCAGCTTGCCCAGTGACCCTCCATGGATTCCTTCTCTTAGAGAGTAAACACTGCCCATCCAGCCTCCTCTCTATGAGGAATCACTGCAGGGATATGTTTGAGAGTGCTCTGTCAGATATGGGTCATGAAAATAACCCTTCTCCAAGGACTAATCCTCTGGGCAGTTTAGGCCTCTCACTTGTTTTCCTGGGCAGCTTGTAGAGAGCCTGCACTTGGACAGCTCATCACCTCTTCCAAAGCTGCTGTTCCCCAGCCACACACTGGTAGTGTCAGGGGGCAGGGAGGCAGGAGCCAAGTAAGGCTGTGGACCTGATTCCTACTCACTTCCCATGTGACCTTGCTCTCTACTCACTCTGCTCCTCTAGGCCTCTGTTTCCCAATTTATAAGCTGAGGAGGGGGCTGGGCCAGGAAGTCTTTAACATTCCCAAAGCCATCTTCTGTGAAACATCAGTGAACTTTATTCTTGTTACTTCAGTCTTAGAGATACTGGCTGAAAGAGTGTTAAGACAATCAAGTGTTTAATCAAAGGATCTTTTCCATTAAAGAATAAACTTTAAATCTCTTGGGTGCAGAACAGTCAAGAGTCTTAGCTAGAGCCAAGGCAGACATGGAATGGTCTATGAGGGAGGAAGACAGACAAAGCCCCTCAGTTGTTCCCTGTTGCCTGTGGTCCCAACTCCTTAGCTTGGTCGTCATGACCCTGTACGACCCTTGAGGATAGGGTCTTTGTCTTTTGCCCCCAACCAGGCACAGAACCTGCCTGATTAGGCCTGACGTAGTACCTGCTGGTTGACCAGTCCAGTGGGTAGATGAATGGATGGCTCAAGCAATCAATCACCAGACACCTAAGGAATTGGGTGGTCCTGTCTTGCCTAGAAGGAAGGAAATTCAGTTTGCCTCCCAAGTCTCCTCTTGGCAACTCTGAAGTGACAGAGATTATTTTTCAGCCTCCAGACTAGTATTTTGAACAAAGATATGTGAGAAGAACCTCATAAAAGGCTCCACCACCTGGCATTCTCCCTGTGGCAATAGTCCACATGTAGTTTGGAGTAGCCCAGCCAGGTGGTAGACACCCATAAGACCTGGATGTAGGTGGGCTCCTCAGTTGCTTATGAACTGAGGGAATTCCCTCTTCT